GGGGGGGGGGGCGATCATGTCGGAAATATTTATCGTACGTTACGTCACAGCACAAGGCCATTCGACCACGTTGCCATTTTACTGATCACACATCTATCAGTAAATATCAGTATAGTATCCGCCTTTAAATATTTTTTTATGGTAAGTTTAGTCGTTTGTTAAGAATAAATTATGTCTTTAGTTGCCCGTGGAAGTATTCATCAGGGCCACGAACTCTTTTATAGTGAACAATCGCGAGGGAAACAATGCTCGTTTATGTAAATTAGATAATACTTCATAGTTTGCCTCATTGGGCTGTACTTCATAGTTTGCCTCATTGGGCTATATTTCTGCCTCATCAGGCTGTATTTGTGCCTTACTGGGCTGTATTTGTGCCTCATCGGGGCTGTATTTGTGCCTCATTGGGCGGTCTTTGTGCCTCAATGGGCTGAATTTGTGCCTTATTGGGCTGAATTTGCCTCATTGGGCTGAGTTTGTGCCTTATTAGCCTGTATTTGTGCCTCATTTGGGCTAAATATGTGCCTTATTGGGCTGTATTTGTGCCTCATTGGGCTGAATTTGTGCCTCATTGGGGCTATTGGGCTGAATTTGTGCCTCATTGGGCTGTATTTGTGCCTCATTGGGCTGAATTTGTGCCTTATTGGGCTGTATTTGTGCCTCATTGGGCTGTATTTGTGCCTTATTGGGCTGTATTTGTGCCTTTTTGGGCTGTATGTGTGCCTGAAAATCATTCGACCATTGGACAACAGTCCGTAATTCATCGATTGACAAATATCTCTCACATGCAATCAGACCATTTTCAAAAGCATTTCGATACATACTGTCTCCTTGCAATAAAACACTGTTTATTGTAATCGAGTTGGAACCCAATGAGAAACAAAATGACGAAACAATTTGGAAAAAGGTCTCCCTTCTGGGCAAATACGAACTTGCGTTTCATCTTCTTTTTTCTCGTAATTCACAATGCATATAACTTGATAAAATTTAACCCACGACTTTACTATGGGACCAGCACACGGCGAATTTGACAAATAGCACGTTAAAATACATAAAAACCCACAAACAACAAGTCATTTTTGTTGCCATATTCGAATGACATCTAAAGCATGACTAAGTCGCGAGTGTGATCACATGCAGGTGTGATTAATCCAATACATAACTATTGTGATTCGACGTGACACTGTCGCCGTTTGAAACCAACGAAAATAGCTTGCTAATCTAACGCTGCTACGCAAATATTTTCTGTCCGTTAAATTTGTAGTTTAGCGATATTTTCAGGTCTTTCAGTGTCCGTGTTGTGTTGAAAGCTTCGAGCACATGTAATTAGATCTATTTCCAAATAAATTAACGGACCACCAGCCTGGATTTCGTATATCGCAAGAAAGCAACTAAACGTTTATACAAAAGTTATTTTGAATAATACAGTACTATTTATCGCTTAAACGTCCCTTGCACCGCAATAGTAGCTACAGATCGATGACTAATTGTTTTTAGTATAAACCTACTAGTAGGCTATCACATATCGTGCCTTCTGATTGGTTACGCTACTAGCAGGCTATTAGTGATAGCCTACTAATAGAAAATTCAACATGGCGGAAAATTCGCGTTTTGCAAAAGCCGAAGTGTCTGATGATTTTTTGGACGACTTGTTGGACAATTCTGTACTAAAAAAAAACCGAAAAAGCAACAAAAATATGGAATGGCAATTTTTAGGGGTAAGAAAATAGACAAAATGACATACACTGAATGAAATTTTAAAATTAAAACTGAATTTTGTAAAACATTTTACGCGAACAAAAACTAAAATATTTGTTTACCTTTAAGTTTAATGGTTTTATAATGTTTTTTTGTGTATTTTTGTATTGTGTTTGCAGCCAAGTTGTAAATTAATGTTAAAGTTTATACTAAAACAATTAGACAATTCGGCCTCGTTGTCCATATATATTTAGTATAAACCTACTAGTAGGCTATCACATTTCGTGCCTTCTGATTGGCTACGCTACTAGTAGGCTATTAGTGATAGCCTACTAATAGAAAATTCAAAATGGCGGAAAATTCGTATTTTGCACTTTTGCCGAAGTGTCTGATGATTTTTTGGACGACTTGTTGAACAATTCTGTACTAAAAAACCCCGAAAAAAGCAACAAAAATATGGAATGGCAATTTTTATGGGTAAGAAAATAGACAAAATAACATACACTCAATGAAATTTTAAAATTAAAACTGAATTTTGTAAAACATTTTACGCGAACAAAAACTAAAATATTTGTTTACCTTTAATGGTTTTATAATTTTTTTGTGTATTTTTGTATTGTGTTTGCAGCCTAGTTGTAAATTAATGTTAAAGTTTATACTAAAACAATTAGACAACTCGGCCTCGTTCTCTATGAGCAAATAGTCAACTCGGCTTCGCCTCGTTGACTATTCGCTCATAGACAACTCGGCCTCGTTGTCTAATTGTTAAATATATATAAATATATATATATATATATATATATATATATATATATATATATATATATATATATATATATATATATATATATATATATATATATATATATATATATATTTCGCCTACACGCATTCCGCACATTCTTTCGATAGCATAAAGCAACCTAAAATTTCGAAATTATTCCTTCACCACCTGATGATTCCTATACGGATGAAACAGACTGTTGTGGTTTTTTGAGGTAAAACGAAAAACTATATACATATATATATATGACTTGAAAAATACAACTTGTGAGTTTTAAAAAAGTTAAAAAACATGTCATAAAACAGTATAATAGTAAGAGACCGTTATAGAAGCAAAGTTTGGTTAATTAAAACTTATTTAAAAGAAGGAAACAAGGCTTAAAAAATCGAAAATTTCGAACACAAAATGGCTTCCCGAATTTTTATTAAATTAGTAAATAAAGTTTACGTCGTTAAAAAGCCGAATAAAAATGCACACACATGCAAAAGAATCCGATTATCCGAATGTCGTTGAAATCTTTAAAATATCTGGAACATAAAGAGGCAAACCATTTCCATAATCTAGTATACATAGACAATAGTTTAGATTAAAATTTAATCGAAAAACTCGACTTAAAAAGGATCGAAAAGGCGAAAAACAAACTCGGCCAAAATCTCGACATTTAAACGAAAAAAACTCTTTAAAATCAGGACAGCTAAATACATGAAATCGTACTTAAAACAAGCACACACTAAAGAGGTTGAGAAAATAGGGGTAAATAGCTACAAAGTATTGTTGAATTTTACCGATTCTGCTTGGAATATTAACAAACATTGTGCACATATTTTAAAAAATCGCCTGTCACCTTCATGTTCAAAACTACGAGCAAAGTTGAAAATTTTACCGCATGTGTCAGCAGTTTCCAAGAGTCTTTGTTTGTGTGTAATCCAGAACCAAAATTAGGCCATTTTGATAAGCTTTTCCTTTAAATGCAGCTTTTAATACTTAAAAACGGCCATTGACTCTCGCGCCCTTCGACGCTTGTTGCTACTAGTAGGCTATCACTAATGGCCTACTAGTAGCGTAGCCAATCAGAACGCACCATACATGATAGCCTACTAGTAGGTTTATACTAAAATTCTATAGCCATTTACCCTCGTCGTTTATACCTTTTCCATTGAATGCAATAAGGAATGACAGCAGATATAATAGAAAAATAATTTCCTATAAAACCTTAACCGTATAAACTATATACTTTGTCAGGGATATATTATACATAATTTATAGTCCCGCACAGACACAGCATTACTCGATGAGTTTTTATAAGCATTTTAAAGTTTCTGCTGATATATCGGCAGTTTGTCTGTAGCATAGTTGGATGAAAACTTCTAAAATATGATAAAGATTGAAGTTGATACAAATATTTATTAACACAGCAGCATATCACAGGTCGAAAGAAGCTGGATTATTCTGCTACAAAAGGCCAATGACAATGCCAATAAAGGTCTTTATAAGATTTATAATGTGCCTGCCGAGATTGTTGCTGGTAAAACATGATATAAAATAAAATAAAATAAAATAAAATAAAATACTTGTGTCTGTTTCTAGTTATATGTATCGTATTAAATATTCAAGTTGTACCGCATAGCACGCACGGAGAAGTCTTGGCGTAAACGAATGGCGTTCATAAGATAACCAATAGAGTTCACTGGTGAAAACAGATAGCTATAATTCGAAATAATTCTTGCTCGTTGAGTTTCAGCAATGTCAATGCAAGGAATATTATAGTCCATAAGAACGCGGCTTTTAATCCTGTGCTTTCACAAGTCAAGATACAGTAGCATTGTTTACAAACAGTTGGCGATGTTTCGGAAATCAAAAGATCACGTTATAAAAAAATCCGTTTGAATATCGGACAGGATATACTTCAATTTAACAACCAGATCGTTCGTTTGATTGGTCGGTCGGTGTGGAAGATATTAAAGTAGCTTCTACGATGAAGCGTGCTCAACTTCGCAAGCTGTACGTAGCCGTGTGGCGTTCTTTCCTTGCAATTGAAACATGATTCAGCTTCTTGTTTGAAATGTAACTCAACACACATTATTGATGACATTGATATAGCAGGAAGTCGTGTCATGATAAATAGAATTTTTAATAGAGTTTAGGTTTTTGTCGAGGGTCGAGTGTCGAGGGTCCAAAGTCGAGGGTGAGGGTAAAAAGTCGAGGGTGAGGGTAAAAAGTCGAGGGTGATGGTGAAAAGTCGAGGGTGAGGGTAAAAAGTCGAGAGTGAGGGTAAAAAGTCGAGGGTCGTAAAAAAAGTCGAGGGTTGTATTTTTACGACAACTAAGACAACTACTAACGATAAAAGAGTTTTTAAAACGGTGTTTCTCCTTATGTAAATCATGAATTAAGGGAGAATTCTGGTCTAGAAACTAACTCATTAAGTTGATGGTTTGGGTCATCTGGTTAAAAAGTTTCACGCACGCAGCATGTCTTCTAGCGTGTAATGTCTCCAGGCCACTTTTGATTAAGTCATTTTTAGATAAAAAGGCGGAATTTTTTCATTAGAAGCAAAGTCAAAGAGCATTTATTATCAATATTAACTTAAAAGTCTTAAAAGAGTTTCTAAACGTAGTACAATTTCATAAACAGGCCAATGGCAATGTTCAACCTCGCATCAAGCAAAGGTCTCCGTCCCGCCGCAGGTGTGCTTGCGAGGCCGGTCAATGACAATGTTTGGCCGTGAGACGAGTAATATTGACTGAATCATTTAGCGTCAATTGGTTTCTAGTTGAAACAGTGGCATGTCTGCAACGCGCTAACCGCGCTCCGTGCAGAAAACCACACAAGTTTTTTTATCATAACTTGCTATTGGTAATATATTTTGCCTTAATTTAATGTATTGCCATTACTGGCTTGAGGATTACAGCTGCCCGATAGTCTATGCTGTTACTGAAGAAACAACCTTCTCGAATTTTGTATGTTTATTTTAACAAAGACGATGAAAGAGTCCTAGGTAAATACAATGAATAGAAATTATAACTGTGAACGTTCTATACACAAATATAGCTACATAAACGAATAGGATAAATACAAAGTAAGGAATACTTACAATAATATAGAAATACGACTTGAAACTAGCGTATTACAAACAAACACTATCTGATGAACTAATATGAAAGACTTCAAATATAAAACCAATGTCAACAAGAGAGCGAGTCAGCGGTTACACTAACTAGTCCTACATAAGTACTTCATGTAAACTCTTCATCCCCCCCAGTACGGAAACCTATAG